CCGCTCCTCCAGGTCTTTGCGCCGGGTGTCCCTGGTCTGCTGGGAGGGCCGCTTTTCTCGCCCCGGAGGATGCGGTGGCGGGACCACTGCGCGTCTGGGTGGTCCCGCCGCCCACGAGTTCTGGGGTGAGAAAAGCCCTGTTCGTAAGTGCGGATCCGACATAAGTCGGATCCACGTAACTCGGGGACTGCCTGTACACAATTAAGGGTTGGAATGGAAGATACATTTTTGAGTACTGAAAACAAACTTTCTACCTATTAAGGAATTTATATTGTGCCCCTAACCACCAACTTTAGGTACCTGGGCCCAGATTATTCCCCTACTTAAATCTGTCCATAGAGGAGCTCTCCATTTATGGATCTCCTCTCCAGCCATAGCTCAGGATTGCCAAGGACCATCCCCTCACTCCTCATCAGACTAGACTCTGATGAGGGCTTTCTGTCCATCTTATGGTCCACACAAGGAGGAGTGTAGAATGGGTAGGATGCATGTTGTCCTCCCTCTAGTCCCATGCAGCTACTCAGAGAATTAACCACAGAGTATGTTCACTTTCTTGCATCACTTTTTATCCCAAGAAGAGCTGCTGCTGAGAAGTAGCAGGTGGGAGACTGCTAAAGGCAGAGCTGATGCAGAGGTTCAGTTCTGGGAGGTAGTTTTTCCTCAAGTGAATCCTCTATAACCCACAACAAGATGTTTAAGGAATCTCCACAAAGAAATCTCCACCAAACTACTCAGACGACAAGTCTTCCTCCAGTTGCTTTTTTTTTTTTTTTTTTTACACAAGAGGGGGTGATCTAAGTTGTCAATATTAATGATTTGTTGTTAGGGGCTTGCTGAATTTAAATAGAAATGACAGTTTCAAGTGCTGGTAAAGTTTAACATATGCAAAAAGTCTATAAGCACTTCAATAAAAAATAAGTATTTCCTCCATATGTTCAGTACAATAATGTGTATATTTCTTAAAACTTACCTCCAGGCCGTGGTTTTAATATTAAATCCATTACTTCATTCCAATTGTTTTGTAGAATAGCTCTACATTTAAACAGAAAATATATTTGCTATTATTAAAACAGGAACAGATTTTAGGGGCATACTTAAGTTCTCTGAAATTCAAAATATTCTGTAAATTTTACATTTCATCTACAGCCAACATTGTGCAACACAACTGCTACAGCTGGTTACACAGATTCTGTTCCTGATCTAAAATTAAATTTAACACATGCAATCCCATAACTGAAACTTTCCAGAGAGAAAAAAAACCCACATGCACAGATGCAATGTAATAAGATGATACAAATTTCAAATTATAATAATTTAGTACATGCAATAAAATAATCAATTATTTAAAAAGTGTACCTTCCAACTTGGTATGTAGGAACAGCTGTGGTTCCAAATCTTTGCATTCCATAATAATTAATAAATCCAATTTCCCGAAGAGAGTGCATTGCTTGCTGTACTTGATCTTCAGTTCCTGATATATTTCTAATATACAAAATTATTTTTAAAAATCCACTCAACAGTAAAACCATCTCACATTACAACTGTCACATCAGTTTTAACTTGTATTCTTATGCTCCTGAAAGTCACCATAAATTTTATACAGCATTTCCTAAATCCAGCTTGTTCTTTCCCCCTTGTGTGTTCTTTCCCCCTTTCACACGCCTTGTGTGAGAAAAAGTTTTAGAAAAGTAGTCTCAAATCCCCTTGGCTCCTCTCTGTTCTACAGCTGAAAAGAAGACTGTCAATGACACTGTCCTAGCATATACCAACATTTTACCTGAGAACAACTGTGAAATGGTTCCCCTGCAGTTCTCCCAATTTCAGGGGATGGTTCTTGTAACTAAAATTTCCCAACTTAAAATTCATCAAACATTTGTTCAAATGAGCAAGTCTTTGTGCAGTAATTCTAAAAAAGAAAAGAAAAAGAGACAGTGACCAAGCTGTTCTCATAAAAGCTCCAAGGCAAGTATTTATGGAGATGCCAGTACAGGAATTCCTCATTTAACACTATAGATATGTTTCAGAAAATGATCATGTTAAGGGAAAACGTGTTATGCGGGGTCAATTTTCCCATTGAAAATAATGGAAAAAGTGGGGATTGCGTTTGGTTCCAAGCAGTGGTGTCTGTTGCAAGGGGATGTGGATTGCAACTGCTTTAAACACTAAGGACCTATTTGAAATCATGGGATGGTGGGCGGGCAGAGCCCGCCCACCTTCTAAAAGCCCCTCCCCAACCTTATGGGAGGGACACTGGACCCATGTTCAATTGATTTCTTGGGACAAATAATGACTAAAGGATCAAGAAGTGCGGGCTAGAGGTTCAAAATAAGGGAGCCGGATGGGGACACCGAGCAGAGAACCCCGGACAGCGCCCACTGCTCCTCAAAGCTGTCGATGGAGCCAGTGGACGCCGCCCAGAGGAACTCTGCCCGGATTCGTGACACGAGGGAGGAGCGGAAATAGGCCCCACAGTCGCAGAGAACCCCCTCGTCTAGCATCCTCCTCCTGCTGTTGTAGATGGCAGCTTTCGCCAAGGCCAGGAGGAGGTTGACGAGGAGGTCTCGCGACTTTGTGGGGCCACGGATTGGGTGTGCATAAATAAAAAGGTGAGGGGAAAAGTGCAGCCAGAACCTCAATAAGAGGTTCTGGAGGAGCCGGAATAGGGGCTGCAACCTGGCGCATTCAAGGTAGGCGTGCGCCAGGTTCTCCCTCACGCCGCAAAAGGGGCAGGTGTCTGGGATAGGGGTGAACCGCGCCAAGTACACGCCCGTGCTCATGGCTCCGTGGAGGAGCCGCCAACTGATGTCCCCGACGGGCCGCGGAATTAAGGTCGAATAAACGCTGGCCCATCGGGGTTCCCCACCCTCTATAGGTCTGAGGTAGTCCCGCCACTTTGTATCGGGGTGGGACACGAGGGTGGGGAAATGCAAAGCGTGGAGCACGAGCGTGTACAGCTGTTCCCTGGGCGCGGTCCGGAAACAGACCGGCTGCACCACAAAGGAGTGTAAAGGGTCTGTTTATTCAGTTAAAACTGGGAAGGGAGGGGAATCTCACTCATACACTCGACCACACTTACAGTCCTAGGCAGGATGATAAGGCAAGTAGAAGGTAGTTCATGGTATCTGATCTTCTCATGTTGATTCCTAAGCAGAGGGCATTCTGGGAGGCTTCACTTAATGGTCAACCAACCGTGTCTCTATCCCTCACTCCTTTAAGGATCAGCTACATGCAGCTTCTGAGTCTCTGGGCCTCTTGGGACCGTGTGCACTGTTGTTTATTCCTGGTGTTTACCTCAGAGTTTTCCTGCCTCTGGTGTCCACTTCAGACATTCTTCTACACTCACTCAGGGAAGGGATAGGGGGTTATAACACTTTTAACAGTTTAGGGAACCAAATAACATCATTAACAAGTGAGAAAGAGAACAACATCCATTTTAACTCTCCTCTTGCTCCTCCTTTGCCTTCAACAGTGTCAAAGTCAATTTTCTGTTGGTGTTGAGTCATCAACGTCAACATTAGATGATGTAGATGGAACAGGGTTATCTTGTTCATCAGATGATCTTCTTTTAGGTTGAACATGAAAATTTTTTTTGATAGAGAGCTGCTTTGCTGCTTTTTGTTTTTCATGGTAAAGTTTCTGGTAGCAAGATACAGCGCTTTCTAAGCTTTTCGCTACTTCTGAGCTCCGTTCACGATCAGGATCATTCTCATCTAAAATGTTTATTGCATCACTTATAAGCTTAAATGCTTCAACCATAACTTTCATTGATAATGTTCGAATAACTGGCTCAGCATATTCAGGCTTGTTTTCCAGCCACTGCTCATCCAGAAGCTTCAACTCATCGATAGACAACTCCTCCCCAAGAGAGTCAAGCAACTTTGCACTTCAGTAGCATCCACCTTCTCTAATCCTGCTTCATGGGCTAGGGCTACAATCTGCATTTTAGCTTTAGCTATTTCAGTGTCAAACTCCCTAAACTTGTGAACACATGCAGGCCATATACGGCACCAAACTGCATTAAGGCAACTCGATGAAACTTCTGCCCAAGCCTTTGCTATAATATCTATAGCATCTTTAATGTTAAATTTTCTTCAGAATTCCTTGATTGTAGGCTTATTCTCGCCATCTGTCTCCCTTATAAGCCTAGCAAAAGTACGGCGCAAGTAATACACCTTGAAAGCAGCTGTCGCTCCTTGATCAAGAGGTTGAATTAACGAGGTTGTATGGGCAGGTAAAAATAACACACAAATGTTTTCTGACAGATCAGTAAGGGAAGGAGGATGCCCTGGTGCATTATCTAGAAGTAGTAACATTTTGAAAGCAAGATTTTCTTGCAAACAGTAGTCTTTCAACTCAGCAGTTAGGTGATTGCAGAAGTAGTCTGTGAAGATGCTTGCAGTGACGCATGCTTTTGCATTAGATCTCCAAACAAAAGGAAGATGATCCTTTGAATACCCAGCTAAAGCTCTAGGATCAGCAGAAACTACTACCAGTTTGAGCTTGCAATCCCCGTTGGCATTGGTGCATAGCATCACTCTGATACGATCCTTTGCAGCCTTAAAACCAGGTGCATAAGCCTCATCACAAGAGATATATGTGCGTGCTGGCATGCGCTTCAGAAGAGTCCTGTTTCGTCCAGGTTAAACACCTGTTTTGATGAATGGCCACCTTCCTTTATAATAGCTTCAAATATCACTGGGAATGATTCAGCAGCAGCAGCCTCTCCAGTTATTTTTATATTATGTAAGTTTGAAAGCTTTTTAAAGCGTTTGAACCAACCATGACTTGCATTAAATGGCTTTGCATCAGTTTCATTCAATTCTATTTTAACAGCATCATATAAAGCTTTTGCTTTTTCCTGAATAACAGCCAAACTCACTGGCATCTTTCATTATGTTTGGTCTTCAATCCACATAGACAATTGCCTCTCCATATTTTCCATTAGGTTAGTTCGCGTACGAACACAGCCTTCTTCACACTTACTGGGGTTGCATTTTTGCAACTTCCCTTAATTTTCTCAGCTTGGGCACGGATTGTGCGCACACTAGACTCACGCATATTCAAAGCGCAGGAGATATCACAAGTGCGTTCACCTTTTTCAATTCGCTTAATCACTTCAAGTTTCTCTTCTAAAGTAAACGATTGTCTATGCTTCTTGCTTGCAGAAGCAGATGTATCACTTTCCTTACGCTTTCCTCTCATGACAAGGGATACAGTAATACACAGCAAGAAACTTCAGTACAAGACGTTGCAGTTTGTTAACACATGATAAACACGTGAGTGAGCGGAGGAGCGCTATGACCACATGCACAGTATTCATCTGCTCACGAATACAGTAAAACTCCCAATAGGCATCAGCTGGAACCCGGAAGTGCTCTGGTCAGCCGCTCTCTGGGTTGGGCTGCTGAGAGCCACATGTGCGCTCGCGGCTCCAGCCTGCACTTGTTAGCAGCCAGCTGCTGAGCACAGGCAGCTGCCTTGGGACTGGGACATAAGGCTGGGGGAGAAAGGGGACTGGGTTACAGCAGGGAGGGGAGATGTTTGGCTCTGGGGAAGGGGAGGGGGATTGGGTTGGGAGTATGCCCCTGTGACGGGTCTGCCAGGACCCACACTGCGTCCGGTGAGGGGGGGTTGCCGGGGAATAGTGCAGCGAGCAGCAAACCCTCCACCACTTTGCAGGGAGGCAGGGGAAGCCCCCCGCAGCTGCTGGTGACGGGCTGGCTGGGGAAACCCAGCCGTCGGCCTGCAAGCAGGGGCGGAGGACAGGGGGCAAGGCGTCCGTCTGTGCTCAGCAGCTGGCTGCTAACAAGGGGGAATTAGCAGGGAACGGTGCGGCGTCTATTCTGGGTGCTTTAGGAGGCAGGGGAACTGTGAGAACACACACCAGGATTATCTGCATGAGTAATTTAGCCTGCAACTTCCCTGCAAAGTGGGCTCATGACCACACTGTATGAAAGCACAACTCAGGCTTTAGGCTACCGCAGGGTATGGACTCTATATCTTGGAGGAGCACCCCGTAAACCCCATATTTCTCATTTGTATTCTGGGTGCTTTAGGAGGCAGGGGAACTGTGAGAACACACACCAGGATTATCTGCATGAGTAATTTAGCCTGCAACTTCCCTGCAAAGTGGGCTCATGACCACACTGTATGAAAGCACAACTCAGGCTTTAGGCTACCGCAGGGTATGGACTCTATATCTTGGAGGAGCACCCCGTAAACCCCATATTTCTCATTTGTCTGTAATTGGGGAACAAGGGTAGCTGGGAATGAGGGAGAGGTCTCAGGCACAGAAATGGGAAAGTCAATTATAGGAAAGGGGATAACTGGGCATGAGTAGAGTCAAGCAAGGGTGAGGGGGTTAGATGGGGTGGCATCTAAGACAGCAGGCTGAGCCACTGGGAAGAGAGATTTGGGTGTGAGTAACAGAAGAATGTGGATATGGGTCAGCCCCACATTCCCTTCCCATGTATGTGCCAGGATGTAGGTGTCCAGACCTCTCCAGGGCTCCAACCTATGTTTCTTCATCATATATGCCAAGATATGGAGAACTTGCATTTCTGAGAGTCTAAGGGTATGTCTACACTACCCCGCTAGTTCGAACTAGCGGGGTAATGTATGCATACCGCACTTGCTAATGAAGCCCGGGATTTGAATTTCCCGGGCTTCATTAGCATAAGCGGG